CGGAGGGGCGGCACCCCCGCCGCTTTCCCCGCTTCCGCAGAGGAGCAGCACACCGCCGACCGGCTCTCTCGGGGGCTGCTCAGATGTTCCTCAGGTGTTGCTCCTTTATAGTCCTCTTCCACCAATCCTTGCTCTGCTGCCCACACGCCGAGCACGCTGCTCTCCTCCAATCAGGAGCAGGATCAGCTCCTGCAGCTTATCAAACTGGTGAGGCAGCTGCGTAGAGGTTGTTTGCTGTCTCTCAGCGCCATATTGTGGAGAGCAGATGCATAGAATTGGTCTTAGTTCCAGTAACTTAGTCTAGTCTCAGTTGCTCCCCACAGAAGGGGAGGAGAGGGGAGGGGAGAGGAGGAGAGGGAAGAGAGGAAGGGAGGGAGGGAGGGAGGGAGGGAGGAAGGAAAGAAGGAAGGAAGGAAGGAAGGAAGGAAGGAAGGAAGGAAGGAAGGAAGGAAGGAAAAGAAAAGCCGGCACAGAAAGCACAGGATGCCTGGAACAGCTGTGCTCCAGTAAAGCCCCGTGGACACTGAACAGGGAACTGTGATTTCTGTCGTTGTTGTTGTGAACTGTGCTGTCACAGGGCTCTGTTTCAACCACTGAAACGTAAACCCAGCCCTAGTGACTGTCCGGGAGCAGGCAGTGGGTCACACGTGGCCCCGGGCTCATGCAACTGTCAGATCAGTGCTGTGTCCTGCCAGGGCCAGGCACTTCCACAGGCAAGACCCCCGTCAGAGCCTGCTCACCTGGCAGCCCCTGGCCCAGGCACCGTCAGAACACAGAGGGGAACGTGTGCAATGAATGCCATCTGCAAACTGAACCTGTGCCCGGGCCCCAACTCCAGGGACCTGGGAAGGACAGAGCCATCACCTACCGGCGCCGACCACAGACACCACCTAACCACGCACTGGATAGACATAAAGCAATGAACTTAAAGTTATTTCTGGGGGCAGCATTCTGGAATAAGGGTAAACCACTGCCTGCAACGCTGGCATCCCATACAGGCGCTGATTCAAGTCCTGGCTGCTCCACTTCTGATCTGGCTCCCTGCCAATGCACCTGGGAAGGCAGCGGAGGATGGCCCAGGTGTTGGGTCCCTGAACCCATGCGGGAGACCCAGATGAAGCTCCTGGCTCCTGACTTCAGCCTGGGCCAGCCCTGGTCATTGCAGCCTTTGGGGAGTGAACCAGCGGGAGCAGGAGCTCTCGTTCTGACCCCCCCCCCCGCCCCGCTCTCTCTAATGCTGGCTCCTTGGAGTTCCTCCCAGTCCTCACAGCCTGCAGCCACCCACCTGCCAACACGCCCGGCAGTGCAGCGGCTCATCCTCACCGGAGCGTGGGAAGCCCAGGGTGGGCAGAGGGTCCACAGGGACTCAGAGCCACAGCAGGGAGTGAGCGCGTCCCCCCGTCGGTCTTGTCCCAGCGGAGCTCTGCTCCCCACGCAAGGCACCAGCACCGTGTGAGCGGCACGGTAGGAACCCCATCAGCCGCTCATTCCGCTCCTGCAGGAAGCTCCAGCCGAAGGCAGGGGAGGGGTGGACACAGGCGGGCACCCACGTGGGCCACGCACAGAACTGGGGCAGAGGCCCCTCCTTGTGGAGGCAGGGCTGGCAGGGCTCACACCCCCCACAGGAGGGACAGCGACATCTGCCTCTCCTGGCGGCAGAGCGGAACGAAGTCTCCTTGCTAACCCAGGATTCACAGAGACCCCAAAGGGCCCCACAGCTGCACCTGGGGCCAACCAGGATCAACACATACAGCCAAAACCCGAAGGCCTCCTCCTGGGATCTGGGCCCTCTGGAAGGCGGGGGCTCTGCGTACCCCACTGAGCCAGTGTTTCTGATTCTCTGGTTCAGCTAGACACCCCCCCACACGTGGCCCTGCACGCTGCGGCCTCTTCCCAGGGACTCCTCCAGCCCCAGCGGCACGCAGCGACTGCAAGGGCAGCCAGTCAAGTCCGCGGGCCTGCTCCCCCTCCTCCCTCTGCATTTCCTGCCTGGCCCTGGGCACGAGATGTTATCAGAGGGCTACATGCGTAGCCACAAGAGGCCTCACCCACCCTGCTGGCACCAAAAACACCACTTT